CTAGCACTGTTATTTATCGCGCGCGACATATATAATCTCGGGACTAACATATATCTTATTTGTGTTTCACCGCACAGTACTGGGACAAATACCACTATCTAAGCTCGGTAAAACATTAACACACGAGCATATATATTGCAATTTTAATTCATATTTTAAGGAGCCTCCATTTAAGCCTCTATATCATCGCAATCACGACCAAAAGAAGATATTTATGAATAATCTCTCACATCTTACGGCGTTTCCGTAAGTCAATTCAAAATGTCTCTACAGCATCTCTACAGAATATTTTGCTAAACATCCATGTGCTAAACTAATATATGCTAAATGAAAACTACAAAATGATTAAAACATAGCTTGGTATCGATATCTGTGTTTATATGAGAGAATAATCTGGTTGTAAAATAACATTGGTGTTAATAACATCGTTTAACAACCATAAGGCAATTTGTATTGTAAATGTGGCTTTGTCAATTCCACTAATTATGTGTGTGAGTTGTTTTATTCGACATTCTGTAGAGAAAAGAAAAATATTTTTAACGCCAAAGATTTATTTCTTAAGCAATTTTTTGCCCAAAGTATTTTGCGTATATCAAAATTAATCCCGATTTCGTCTTGAACATTTATGACAATTTTGTACAAAGCACTTTTACAATCTGCATCTTCTATGCGCTTTTACGATAAGTCATTAATTAACACATTGACTGTCACGTTTAATCCGCCGAAAGCGCGATTACTGTGTCTCACGAATAAGCCTACAAAAAAACAGGTATATGTATTTTTCTATCAGGATACGCAGAATAAATAAAGTTGTCGCGTGAGTGATGTGATAGGCAATGTGTTAATTATTGCACATAAATAAATACCTTATAATATATATAACACTTTATCTTGGTTCAGGTATAGCTCGAAATATAATTTAACACTTAATGACATCGACACGAAGTTAAACTCCTTGAATGAATTAAATCTATTCAATCAGCATGGCGGTAAAACCATTGTGGAGAACAGTAGTCACGGCTTATATTGCGATACTTCATCATTAAAAATAATTAGCAAAGAAACTGGAGTCAACATAATTGTTGGAACAGGTAAGGTTATGCGGTGTACTTGGTAAAAGTAATATATCAATTTCTACACCGGATGTTCTTGCAGCTTAATGTAGCTCAAGATTTTTCCTTTATATCAAAATGAGAAATATTGAGACATTAATTTTTATGCGATTAACAAATTACAAATTTTCACACACACATTTATGCACATACGAGCTGAAGTATGAAAAAGTTGCACAAATAACTATGTATTCTTTAATTAATTTCACGCAAATTTTACTTAAATAGAATTAAAAATTGAGTATTACACAAAGATATTATTATATCAAAGTTTGGAAAAAGTAAATAAAAAAAATGCTGTTTATTTTTTTATTATGTTACAATAATATTAGTAATACGTATTTTACAACCGTTGAATGATATTTTTATTATATTCATAATATTTAAATAATGTATCAAGCAATCAACGAAATTTATGTGGTTTTTCGTAAAGTTTATTATCAGCCAAATTGAACGAATTTTGTTCGTTACTTGATATATTATTTAAATATTATTAGTAAGACAAAAGTATTATTCAATATAGTCGTAAAACATTACATATATTCGACAGGACTTTATTCTGCCCATGCGGTAAAGAATAATTGCATAAAAGTAGAACATATGTGTCATATAATGGACCATGAGTTAGACTACGGTTGCTGGGATGATTCAACAGTGCAAGCAGGATTTATTGGAGAAATTGGAGTAGGAGTTGAATGGCCATTAAATGGTACGTAGCTTGCATATGTTATCTCAGCACTGTTAACTGTTAAATATTTTTTATTATTATTTTATTTATTATAATAATTTTATTAAAATTATTTCTTACTATTAAAAAGACGCCTGACAAAATATCATTAAAATAATCATAGATCTATTTCTTTTAACTTACTTTTTTATACTTTTGACGTTTAAAGTGAAATAATATATTAAAATGTTAATGAAGAAAAACAAAGCAAAGACGCACAAATGAAATTGAAACTAGAAGATATTATAATTTAAAACAATTATAGCATTGGGACATATTTTTATTTTCAATAATAAGTTCAAAATTACATCTCAAATAATTTTTCTTCAACTTTGATTATATATTGTGCTTTACGAAATTATGCTGGAACGCTGACCTACAAGTGGAATAAAATAGCGCGAATATCATTTTCAAATCGTACTAATTGACATGTTCAACGCTACATATGTTGTATTTGTAAAACAGATTTTGAAAAAAATTCCATTATTGCGGCTGCCACAATTCAACAAATATACAAATGTTCCGTAAGTTTAAGTTCTGGATGGTATAGTGATTCACCAAAAGAAATAATGCGAATCTTTCAAGAGGCCGGCGGTGACGCCAACAAGGTCGCCATGTGTTATGTCGATCGTAAGAGCTATGAACTTTTTTCTTTTCTTCTAATTAGCATATTTGTGATATACTTGTCAAATAAAGTTAAGAAAACAAGATTGCACAAAGCTACTCAAAATAATTTTTGCCGATTAAAGTAGTCATCATTCGCTTTCTGTACTCATTTTTATCTATACATATTTTTTATCTCTTTTTTTTAATTTTTTAAACATTGTGAAAAGTAGAGTTTAATAAACTACTCCACAGAAAATGGGAAACACACACTTTTCAGCCACTCAAAATTGAGAAATTTTTTAACCGTTGAAACTCAAGAAAAAATTATTGCAGACAAAAAATTAAAATAGCATTTGGAAGCATGAAGTTGGTAGTTTTTTCTGCTTTTCGCTGTTTTTGAAAATTTTTTATTACAACTTCAACAAAAAAAAATACATTGTGTTGTTATCCTTTTATCCTTTTAAGCAAAATATTATAAAAACAATAGATTTTTAATAATATTGAAAATATTATAAACACATAGTTTATCTTTAAGTTCATTTAAAAATGATCAGAAAAATACTCTTTTTATTAATTTTGTTTGTTGTTTTTTATTTAAGATATTACAAATTCTATTCATGCACTGTATTCGTTGTAATAAAATAGAAACAAAAATTTATTAGGCACCCTGACCGTGAAAGAAGATCTTCTGATTTTCGCTGACGACCACAAGAATTGTTACTTGCAGTTTTCTTTATTTGGTACTGAGTGTTTTATGTGTCAACAAGAACCAAATGTCGACGTGCTGTCTGATGCACAGCGTATAAAGCGTATCAAAAAACTGAAGGAAAATAAATACCTAGATAGAGTTCTTATAAGTCATAATATTCACACTAAAAATAAATTGGTATTTACTTTTAATATTTTTGTTCTTTTATAATTATAATGTGTAAAATTAATCATCGTTCAAATTACTTTTAATAATTAATCGTAATATTATTTTAATTTTTTTCCATTATTTAAATTTAAATTTTTGCGATAAAATAATAAGACAATTAAATTAAAATTAGGTATAATCTAGTGATAAACTTAAAAAATCATTTTATTTGTTGATTTTCAGCGTTACTTTGGTGGCCATGGATACTCTTATATTTTAACTAACACTAAGGATCATATGCTTAAAAACGGTTTGACTACGACAGATTTTGACACAATACTAGAAGAAAATCCCAAATCATGGCTTACATAGAAAAGAGTAATATAGACAAATTGCATACTTGAATATTTCACTTGAACTATTTGAACTGTGTTTGGAGATCACTCATGCAGCACAGAATATTCCAAATACATTACTGAAATATTGCTGCAGATTGGAAATGCAATGTAATAAAGATATTACAGAAATATAAAACTGAATAAAAACTACTGAAAACTGCAATGATACTTTTGTAATATCTATAACATATTAAAAAAATATAATTCTGTAATTTAGAGTACATTATAGTTTTTAGATGCTTCTGGATAATTCTTAAGTGAACAAACATCGGGAATGCGTAGAAGCAATCGACAATAAGAAAAAATTTTATTTGTTATTCTTATTTCGGATGCTTCTATATGCTTTTAAAATTTGTTTATTAAAATCAAAGCTAAAACCAATCATATTGTTCATTATTAAAAATATTACTATAATGTTTCATTGCAATGTTGCTATAAAATTACATTTCAATATTTCTGAAAGCAGACATTTTATGTGCAATCTAACAAGTGAAGCAATATTTCTCAACTTTTGTGTAATATTATAATATTGCAATGAAATAGTTTTCAATGTTTTTAAAATTGTTCTGTACTATATGGGGATTTTTCTCGTTTGTCTTATTTATTAAAATAGTTAAAATAATTGTTAAAATAGTTTGAACATACGAATTTAGCATACAACAGATATGAATTTTTTAAAAGTATTGATTGCAATAAATTTTTGATACGTAATATTGTTTTTTTAAGTAAGCAAATATGGACTATTGAAATAATTGACTATAAACAAGAATAACAATAACAAATGAATATGATTGCAACTGAAATTATACAGATTGCATTTTACTTATAAAAGAATACGAAATTCGTGTTTTATTTACAAAAAACGCAGCGATATAGAAAAACCTTTGTTCAAAAAAAATATCTTGTCGAGCATAATTTAGTGTCATTATCGAATTGGTCAAAAATTAAACGTATAAACTATCTGCATACCTCATATTTGCAGTGCTCCGCTTAACTACGCTTAGCTACGAAGCAACGATTTATGTCATTCTGTCATAATAGATGAGATTAAAAAATTATGCAAATTGGCTGGATAACATAGTTATGATTATCAGTTTCCTTCTGTATTTTTTAATTAACAAAAAAATATTCTATTCTTTAAAGTCAAATTTTGACTTCTTAATCCTAGAACTGCAGATTTCTCGCAGAATTTGTAACGATTAAACGATTGAATGAAAGCTTATTTATTTTGATGTCATTTATGTGTACGTTACAAGCTTAGAACTGAAGAATCATTAAAAGAACGGCCCTGATAAGAATAATAACAAGTGTCGTGCCAAAGTAGCTGCGACTTTTGTACACATTAAACGTCTTTTTCAAATTCATGCTTTTCATTAACGCAGTAAAGCAAAAATTTTAGAACGTCTTTTGCATTATATTCGGCATAATGTATAAAATATAAATTAAAGTACTAAGAACTAAAAAGATTTAAAAGGAGACAAAAATGGCTAGCTTGCCAGTAGAAAGTGTAGAAACTGGTGAGTGGAAAATTATAAAGTACAAAATATTTTTTTCAACACGAGTTTATATAGATTATATTTTTCTAAAAGCAAAAAAAGGTACATAGTTAATGCAATTGTGTGATCTCTTTTAAATTAAATTAAACTATTTCGAGATTTTATATATATTACATTTATAACCACATTATATATCGCGGAAATATTGATAATACAGATTTTAATGGGCGATTCACAATAATTATTTGTGAAATTTCAAATTTTTGTTATTTCTATTAATCTGATAAGGCGATACAGCTATTTTTCCAATTACTTTTTCATAAGTTTTTCTACATCAGTGTTGCTTATCGCGATTTCGGAAGTATAATCTGTGTAATCTGTACATATTGTAAAGATTTATTATTCTCATTTTGTTATTTATATTTTATCATGCAGTCATGGGAGCTAAACCGCTCTCGGAACTCGGCGTAACACTAACGCACGAGCACCTAGCGTCTAATTTTTTCCCATGTTATATGCCGTCTCCTTTCAAAGACATAAATCCAAGAGTAACATTATGTAATTTGGCAGTTACTAGACAAAAGCCGTAAGTAAGACATTATTATCGTAATGCGTTGTGGCACACGTTTTGCCAAACATTTCTTGTAAAATTACTCAATAATCTTCATCTTTTTTTTTGCGTTTTAATAATTAAACATTGATAAGTAAAACATTTGAAATATGCTTATTAAACTAAATAAATATTGTAACTCAAAATTTCAGGCTGACCATTTTCAAAAATACGTGTCTTTATGACGAATCAGGGATGCGCTCTTTTTATTATGATATATCCGATTTCAAAATGTCCGGTGGTAAGACTATCGTAGATACCGGCAGCTACGGTATGCGTCGTAATTTCCGGTTTCTCCATACAATTTGCCGGACCACTAAAATTAACGTGCTGGTTGGAACAGGTATAGTCATACAATGTGTTTCTTTTGCATATATATCATCACACATTGTATACATTTGGAGTAATATTTTTACTTTAATAAATATCTCGATTAATTAAGAAAATTCTGTTCTCGCGTAATTTTAAGTTAAATAAATTTAAGTTCGATTTCGCGTATTATATTCTTTCTTCGCGTATTTTATTACTTTTTCTTTCTCTTGTCATATTTTGGCAACTTGGCAGGATTTTCTACAACAATAGCTAGAGATAATGATTATTTCCCCAAAGATAATACAATAGAGACTCTATGCAATGTTATGGCGAACGATTTAGAAAATGGTTTTGACTGGAATAACGTTTATCCTCATTATCGTCCTTTAAGGTATCATGATCAGAGCATCAAGGCAGCATTTATCGGAGAAGTGGGCAGTGACTGGCCGATTAGTGGTACATAATCACACATTAATTAGTTTGTCGAATTGACAAATCTTTTCAGAATTGTTAACAAAATACTGATCATTTTCCGATTATTAATTTAAAAAAAGCTGACTAAATAGTTATTAAAATAATCTTAAATACGTTTATATTAGCAGAAGAGATGTATTCTCATCCTTTTTAAACCAAAGTAAACGTATCTATATATTGCGAATATATAAGAAATACGGCTTGTCAGAGTAATTGCATTGCGCAAAACATCTCAGTTATTGACAAAGTAAATTTAACTAGCTTATACGTCGCCGCGGATCAATTTTCAGTGACTTTCCATTTACGCTTTGTGGATTGCATACGTCCTATGTTGTCGAGATTAAAATATGCTTGACATTTTTCATATGATATTTATAAGAACCATAAATATCATTGTTATGAGGAAAAATGTGTATAACGTTTAAAATGCGTTACAGATCCATATAGACAAATTTTTGTTTTTACTTAAACAGAAAATTCAGTGAATCGTATGCGATCCACGTTGCAGGAAACGTGTAAATTCTAATAAGTTTAATTAAAGTTCTGTGTATCTCTCACACACCGTTTCTCTAATACTTTATCATACGCAATTTACTGGAACGGCGACACATCTATAGATTTAAGAAAATCATCAAAATATTAACCTTTTTACAAGATAGACGTTCAGAAATATCATGTATTATGTTTAGATTTTGCACAGCGTTCCATTGCTGCGACTGGTCGCGTTCAAGAACAAGTACGTTGCCCCGTGAGCTTTACTCCCGCATTTAATACAGACGCACCTGCGGAAATACTGCGAATCTATCAAGAAGCTGGCGGCGATGTTAAGAAAGCCGTCATATCCCACGTCGATTGTAAGAGTTTTGTCGTTAATACGCAATTATTCTGTACGTGCGTCACATTGTAAAGAGTAATCGAACAAATTTAATAGGTGTATTCAACAAAAAAACGAAATTTTTTGAATTTTTGGACGATACCAAATGTTACGTACAATTCTCTTTGTTTGGTTTGACCGGTCCATCTATCCTGAAAGTGATTGCAATGTACTGTCAGATACACAGCGCATTAGACGTATCACGATAATGAAAGAGGAAAATTTGCTAGATCGAGTTCTTATGAGCCACGATATTCACACTAAAGATAGAATGGTACGTACATGGCACATCATTTTAACATTTACCAATTGATTTTGCATAATAATTTTAATCGTCTAATTTAAATCTGTTTTAATTTATTTAATTAATGCAAATAGATAATAAGTTATTTAGAAGAGAATTAGAGTCAATCACAAGTAAATTCGGAAAGTAAAGTTATTATATCGATAAAGGCTGGAAATTATTTTAACAATTTTCAAGGTATCTTATGGCGGCTACGGATACTCCTTTATTATGAAGTACATCGTGCCATACATGATAGAAAAGAAAGATTTTACGAGCGAGGAGATCGAAGACCTAATAATTTCAAATCCTAAGAGATGGCTTACAAGAGGCTAATCACCCGTACAAGTCGCTTTTCTCTTATTCGAAGTGTGACGCATAAAGAAGTGCAGTGAATTTTAACGCAATATCGTTTTCCTAACAATTTGTAGACTGTTTTAACGCTTAATTTTACTATAATTATTCTTATAATTATACAAGTTGCATTTCAAATATAAGACTACATGAAATTTGTGTTTTATATCTATAACAATACGCGAAAAACTGCGCAAATATTCTCCATAAGTATCTGCCTATTGCAATTTAAACGTGCTACATATTTGATATTTTCAATACTTTGTTTTGCAGCAAAAAACAATAAAGTCCTTGAATGAATTTGCAGATAGAATAAAATACTATTGTGTTTAATGCCGCAATTTTAATATTAAAAATTTGTAGTAGACAAAAGCAAAAGTTATTTCAATCGGCGCGAATATTACAAGAATTAAAAGCAATACTAATACATTAGGAATATATACATATATTTTTCTTTACATTATAAAAAAAATTGATTAGCAAGAAAATAATTACTATTAAAATTGTTCAAAAAAACAAAGAAAATTCGTATACATTTACTAAAACGTAGACATACAAGTATGTTTCTATTAAACAACTAAGTAAATACAATTACGGCACTCACAATTAGTTTTGTATAATGCTATTCTAAACATTGTAATGCATTGTGGATCTTCATAAAAAAAATCTTGACTCTGCACTTTATCCACTTATATAAAAAAAATGTATTTTTTTCATAATCATTTAACAAATATATATTCCAGAAAATAATCAGGCAAATTATTAGTTTAAAAATTTTATTAAAACTGTGTTCTTTTATTAGTTTATTATAATTATTATTATCAGGTAAAATATAGATAATTAACATCAATGATACATATCTTATAATTTGAATATCGTATATTGTAACATATGTTTTGGTTGACTGAGAAAATACGATACATAACAGAGCATAATAGAGCAGTTACAGTTGACGATTCGTACGTATCAGACGTTTATATATTCAAGTGTTATAATACGATACAACCAACATTTCTTCTCAAGCTTAGAGTTTTAAAACGTCTAATAATTACATAATTTATATTATAATACACAAGACGTATACGAAGTATTAAATAAATTACTTAAAGTTCTTTATTTTTAACGAAAAAAGACAATGGAAGAGACAATGGAAATGGCTAACGAAGTAGAAACTGGTAAGTTTAAAAAAAAAAATTTTAAACTAATGTGGTTAGTTTATGCATTTATTCAAAAGTTTTTATATATAAATTTTTATATTATTGCCTTTAATAAAGCAAAAGCATCTGAAAACTATAAATTACAAGTTGCAGATGAAAGTTACAGTTTTTAAATGCTTTCGCTCTTTATAGACAAACGTGCAGAATGTGGCAATTAGAAAAAAATTTAATTTGTTATTTTCATTTTGGATGCTTCTATATGCTCTTGAAGTTTGTCCATTAAAATCAAGGGCGTCTTGTGCATTATTACAAATATGTTGCGCTGCAATGTTACATAACGTTACATTGCAATATTTCTGAAGACAAATTTTATTATACCACTGCTGCAATTTAACGACAATATTGCAGCAGCATTTCGCAATTTCTGTGCAAATGTTACAATATTGCAAGATAACATTTCTGCAGTGTTCTTGAAATCTTTCTGTGCTGTATGAGAATATAGCTAAAATTTAATCATTTTTTTTAAATTTAATATAAACTCAGAGCAATAATTAAGGGATCAATTATAATAATTGTTCTTTACATCAGTTATAATAATTATTAACAGTGTCCACAGTACAAGGATTCGTACCATTAAGCAAACTCGGGATAATATTACCGCACGAGCACATTCGACACAAGCCATTGTCCACTGAGTATAGACAATCTTCTAAGCCGAAAATACATCCCTTTTTAAATACAGACTACGATTTTTTGATAAACAGAGGACATTACAAAATGTATCCGTGAGTCAAATCTAAATATATCTCTTGCTTCTCTACCGAATATTTCGCTATGTATAATAATATAAGCATGCTAAACTTTAACATGCGCGTGTAATATTAAAAAAAAAGAAGACATTATGGCATAGAAGAGAGAAGAAATTATGAAAAAAGATTTATTGTTTAATAATAATAAATTATAACCTTATACATAAATGTAACTTTGTCAGTTTTGCAATATTAAAGAATAAATTGTTCTCATTAAACATTTTATACGGAGAAATATCAACTTAATTCTGAAGTAGATATATGTTGTTTAAAAAACTTTTTTCCAAATAATTTTGTTTGAGGCATAACGATTTATGAGCACACCAAAGGCTTAGCGATGAAAATAACGTTGTTAACATAAATATTGTATAGACGTCAAAGCTTGATCTAAATTGTGATGTGCTTTGTCGTAAAGCGTATAAAGATCATGTGTATAATCTTGTGTATAATCTTCAAAATATCTATGCTATTTTTATAATAGTAACACAATAAGTCGTCGAACAAAATCTTTTAAAATGAGTATACATATTTAACAAAGCATTCTGGTTTAGATATACCGCTATGAGTAAGGACATAAGCTTAATTGATGACGAGATTGTAAAGAACGAATTAAACCAATGCAAAAGTATTGATACCATTGTGGAAAACACGAGTTATGGTTTAATGCGCGACATATCTCAATTTAAAAACTTTAGCGAACACTCCAAAATTAATATAATAGCTGGCACAGGTATATATACATACATACACACGCACGCACGCACGCACGCACGCACGCACGCACGCACGCACACACACACACACACACACATACATACATACTGCATTATTCATAAATATAATATTTTAATTTTGTATATCCAATGTCTCTTTTTACTTACTGTAAATATCATAAAATCAATTTTTGCTACAGAAATGTAAATGTCATTATTAATTTTTTTTTATTAGACCTTTCGCTTCGAAATCATCTTTAAAATATTAGATTGATCGAAAAGTTGCTTTGATTTTTGTTTTTCATTTGTATAAAAAAACCCGAAGGAATTTTCTAATCAACTCAACAAATCAAAATTTTGTAAATAAGTTATTCATTATGTAGCTATTTATTTTATTTAAAACAAATTATCTTATACCTTTAAAATCAAACCTTTATTTTAGGTTTCTTGACTATGTCCGTTAAACAAAGGAATATTTTTATGTCTCACGGGGAGGGCGGAGGGGGGGGGGAGGGGACAAATTTTACTAGTTTTGCTTACTCTTATTATTATGACTATTGTTACAATAATGTTTCCGTAATTTGACAGGATTTTACGCTGCAAACGTGCAAGAAAAAAAAACATTATCATTGTCCCAAAAGAAAATGTACAATGTAATGAAGAGAGATTTGACAGAAAATTGTTTATCCAGTGTTGCGAATGAAAAAGTCAAAGCTGAGAATAATGCTAAAATACTAGCAGGATTTATCGGCGCAGTGGGCATTAGTTCACCAATCCATGGTACATAGCTCGCAAAGACTGACTTGCCAAATTTAAAATATTTTTTATCATTATTTAATTATTTGTTATAAAAATCATTTATTATTTATTTCCCATATTATAACATGTTTATGCAATGCTTTATATATGAATTAATCGCAGTGTTAATTTCCACTGCTCATTTTTTACGTTTTTCAACTAATATAAAATAATATAAACAACTAATATATTCCGATATTACAATTTATTCGAGCAGTTGCATTTTATTTGATTTTTAGTTAATACTTTACACGAATTTAATACAATAAAAAAATTAAATAATTAATAATACATTAATTATATAGTAATACCTCAAAGTATTGATTTCACGTTTCTATTAGCAGTACAATATAATTTGTAGAAGCATATTTGAACGGTGATATATTTACAAACTTCGCGAATAAAATCGCTCGAATGTTGCTCTTTAGCCGTGATAACTAATATGTTTAAAATAATAATGTATTATATTTCTTCTAGCATTTGAAAAGCGTTCTATTTGTGCGACTGCCGAAGTTCAAGAGGAGTTGGGTTGTCCAGTAAGCTTCAGTCCTGCAATGGGTACTTGCGATTACACAAAGGTGTTGCGAATCTATGAAGAGGCTGGAGGAAACGCTAACAAAGCCGTCGTGACACACGTTGATTGTAGGTTTCATGAAAATCTTTTGATTATCGTAGCGCTAGATGCTTATCATTTCGAATATTTGTCAAGTAAACTAAAGTTAACATAGTATTTCAAAATATTTTTTACTAATTGAAACAATCTCTACTTCAGCACATTTTTTATATAAAAATGTTTTTTTTCTTTCAAGAGTTTTTTTGAAGAAGTTAGTTGTCTGAAATAGTGCTTAACAACAAATTTGTCTTGCAAAACATAATTATTTTCAAAATTATTTGCATTAGAAACATGCGTTATGAATATGTACGATGCAATGTATTTGTACATTATTGTTTATGTATGTTGCATCTCTTTACAATCACCCTTTCAATGAATATATTTTTAATATCAAGTTTATTTGATTAAAATACTGGAACATTTTATTTCATTTCTTTTGAAGATTCCAATTTTTATAAATTTGTATATATTGTAATTACTTCGACAAATTTGAACAGGTACGTTGATCAAAAAGACGGAGCTCATGGAATTTCTCGATGATACAAAATGCTATATACAATTTTCTATGTTTGGTGACGAGACGTCTTTTAATCACCGAGATGACAATTTGGACATGCTGTCAGATGCGCAACGTATCAAACGTCTCAAGCTACTCAAAGATAATAAACAATTGCATCGAGTCCTTATCAGTCACGATATTCACACTGAAGAAAGAATGGTACTTGCATTGCAATATTTTGATTTGCTTTTACATGATAAATATATAATTATTAATTGTTGCTTTTTTTATTAATTTTTCAGTCACATTACGGCGGTCATGGATTTACTCATATCTCAAAGCATATTAGAGAACACATGCTTTCCAGAGGTTTAAGCACAGAAGATTTCGAAACATTAACGAAAGAAAACCCTCAAACTTGGCTTTTTTGGAATCAAAAATCTAAAATATAATGCATATGTATTTCATTTTATATAAAAAAATAACATATAAATTAAAACAGATAATTTGTAATAAAATAAGGTTCTTTCTCAAAAAAATATGACTGCTGCAACAATTTACTTTTATATTATAAATTTTACACCAATTATTATTATTATATATCCTCCTACTTTAAGAAAAGCATGTAAAATCGATACTTGCATTGTTACTTCTTTTCCGCGATTGATTATCTCGATACGCATTGTGTGTTACTTCGTGCTATCGAGTGATCATTGTGACTGTTGCATACTTCGACAGTTTATATTTTAAAAAGATTAGTATAGATATCTTTTTTATTACTTTTGTGTTTCATAGAAAATATTCAAAGTGTCTTCTTAGATAGAGTTAATATAAATATATTTGCAATTCAAAAAATTAATGGCGCGCGTGTGACGCGCGCTTATGTGTCTAGTATTTTAAATTAAAAAATTTAAATTTTATATAAAATTTATATTTTGCAAAAAATATTTGCAAAAAATATAATTATGTATGGCATTCATATTTTCAGTACAATTGTAATATGATATGAATAATTGAAAATAATTTTATGCTTATTTTGAATGCCTGAGAAATTAAATACGCTTAATATAAGTGAATAAACTAATTTAGCAAAAGAACAATTTATTCGAACATGTAATTCTCTCGTAATATATCAGATTTAAAATTAATGGAAATTAGTTGGATAACACAGTTACGCTTTTACAAATATCAGTTTTTCATTCTCTGATTAATGAGAGATTGATTCTTTTCTAAATTTCTTAGAATCAAATGTTAGCTTGGCTTTTCAATTTTGAAACTGCAAATTTCTCATTAAACTTACAGAGACGCAAACATATTTAATTTTGTTATCAATGTCATCTATGTGTACATCACAAGCTTAGCGACAAGTATCGTTAATATCAGGGTCCTAGTTGATTAGAATGGTACGAGTTGTGGCAAAGCAATTACGATAGCTCATAAAGATCAGACGTGATTTTCAATCCTGCGTTACAATATAACTAATACATTAAGCTTGCAACATTTTAGAACATGATTTTATAGTTGCATTATTATATTCAATATAAAGTATCTATAATTTAAATTACTGAAAGCTAAAAAGTGTAACAAAGATATAAATATAAGATAAAAATGACTGACAATTCATCGCAAACTGTGGAAACTGGTAAGTAGAAAACCAACAAATATAAAATAAAAGCTAAAAAGTGTAACACGCTTAATTATTGTGTTTATAGTTACAAATTTTGTAGAAGTTTACATGCACATGAAATTATAGTAACAGAACTCAAATTATTTTCTTACAAATCTTTTAATTTTTATGACTTTTTTTAAATAAGATTATATATAAACTATAATTAAAAAAAAAAGAAACAAAATTATGACGTGATTAACATTGCGGATTGTAACATTTTGAAAATTAAATTAAAACATTTCGATGTTATACGTTTTGTATTTACTAATAAAAATTCTTTTTGAAGAGTGTGTTAAAGATTCTAAAATTATATTATATTGAGATTTATTGGATAATTTTGAATTTCGGTTAAGCAATCTGTGGTTTACAGATAAATTACGATCAATATATTGACATGTATATTCTTAAGTTCCAAAATTTTGCAGTTATAAAACACTGTTTTCTTATAAATCGATAACTATTTCTTTATTAAATTTATCACGAATCTTCACGCATAATTGTTATTCATCTTCGGACTACAATATGGATACATACATTATGAGCACTTATATTTTATTATTTATATTAATTATTTGTATCTCTTGTATACAGTATTAGGACCTATACCAATAAGCGAGCTTGGCGAAACATTAACGCATGAGCATCTAGGCTCCTGCTTTTACAAAAGAAATAAATTTTTAAGATCTCCTTATCTTAATACAAAATGTATATCTCTGAGTAATATCCAAGCTCTTGACTTTGATCCGTAAGTCAAGATTATATCTTATAAGTATCTCTACAAACTGTGTTTTACTAAAAGTGCATGCGCTACATTCATAATATCAAACAAAAAAAGTTTACAGAATAAACGAAAAGTATGAAAAGTACAAGAGTAAGTTTTGTGAAAGTTTTGTGAAATATATAAAAAAGTGCAAAAAATATGCCGATCAATGCCAGTATTTATAACACAATTGTTAAATTATTAAAAGCATTAACTGCGCAATGTTTATGTAAATTATTTTTATTAGACATTTTAAGAAGTAATAAAGAATCTTTTGGCAATAAGATAAATATGTATTATTGAATGGATTTTTTATGTGAGCAACAAAGATGCCTAACGTTTTTTCAACTAAAGTTACGTGTTTAACAAAATTTGATTTCAAAGTACTAACACATGTTTCGCGATATACACTTCATAAAGCGGCTCCATCATCATAATTACATTTTTATAATTACATAACAACATATAAACTATTTAAAAAATACTGTTACTTTAAAATAAATGTATATCTAATATAAAACATATTGCACGATTCAGGTATCACAATATTTATAACATAAATCTTAATGACGATGACGCGGTGAGAAATTTTGTCTTTTGAAGTATCGTTATTCAAACGGAATCGTGGCAAAACTATTGTGAACACCAGCAGCTTTTATAACACCGATCATTACACCGATTTGTTTCTGTTGAGAACACTTAGCAAGATGACTGGAGTTAACGTGATTGTAGGATCAGGTATTTTATTCTTCTTTAACAAATATTTTGAGTAACTCAAAGAATATTGTCTTTTACGGATAAATTATATAATATCTTTGATAACAATACATTTGAAAAAAAATCGATGCACCGATGCTAAAAACGAGCCGTTTTACTCAAATTTTACATTTTGTGTGTATTATTTATTAAAAAAAAAATCTGTGTTTTTTCAATGTTACACATTAATATTTTTGAAAACAATATGTTACTCCTTCTAAAATTATTTTATCCTTGCGTCGATCTTTTTGTCAAGCAATGTATAATAATTGATGTCGAATACATCGTGTTCTTACGTTATATTATATTCTTTGCAGTCGTTGCTGATTCGCCAAAATCACAAAACAGTTTTCAGGAACATATTTATAATGAGTTGAAGCGTAGCTTGATAGAAGGTAACAGGTTCTTCACTGTGGATGAAAGTCCCATAATAAAATCAGCATTTATCGGAGAAACGCCCTGTTATAACTATGATGAAGCAATGGCTATGCAATTAACAGGTTTCTGACATAATACAAAATTTTCTATTTATTTTAAATCTAACACTTTTGAATCTAACTTTTAAAACTTTTTAAAAATAAATGTATATTAAAGTTATGAATTATTCTGTAACAATAGAAAATATTAACGGGAAAAAAGGCAATAACAATCAAACGCGCGAGTGTTAATGCATAATTCAATATATATATATATATATTTATTATCTATTATTTATGTAATTAGAAAATGAGAAGATATTTCTTTCTATGACTGGCCAAGTACAAAATGAATTGCATTGTCCCGTGACTCTTTACCCAGCGAACAATTCATCATTACCTGAAGAAATAATGCGGATTTATCAAGAGGCCGGTGGCGATTCTAGCAAGGCTATCATGTCTCACGTCGATTGTAAGATCAGCAAGATCTCTTCTTTTTTCTAACAATTATTTATTTTGCACATCGAAATCGGTTAAATGTTGAACTGTAAATGATTAATTGTGTAAAATTGACAGTGGCTTTCTCCAAAAAACAAAAATTTATGGAATTTGTGGACGATACCAATTGTTACCTTGAATTTTCTTTGTTTGGCAATCCGTCTTCCCTCGAAATTGGTAACGATATACTGTCAGATGCGCAGCGCATTAAGCGTATCAAACGATTGAAGGAAGAAGGAAAACTGAATCGAGTTCTCATGAGTCACGATATTCACACTAAAAATCGATTGGTGCGTAGTATTTTTGTAATAGTATTTTCTTGCCATTTTACCCAATAAATTTAATTGTTATCATCGTTTTTATCATTTGATTTTAATTTTGTTAACTCATTCTTTGTTACTCCATTTTTTAATTTATCAGAAATAGTAAAATATTTTGATCAATATTAGTTAGTTCTGCAAAAATTTGGTTATATACAAAGTGATTCAGAAGGAAAGGTTAATACTTTGAGAGGTGATAGTATTAATTAATACAAATACATGTTTGTATAAACTTTTTTACTTGTGTATTCTTTAAAATAATCGAACTACACCTTCCGAAGTATGCATCTTTTCTTCTGAATCACTTTGTATATAAAGTTAGTAATAAATACTTCAAATTACATTATTAATTTTTAAGGTGTCATACGGCGGTCTAGGACTTGGTCATATTTCGAAAATATCTTGCCACTTATGCTAAAAGAGGTATTCATATAAACGACATTAAAATAATAATGATTGAAAATCCCAAAAACTGGCTTAGCTATGATCAGACGCTTAAGGAATAAGAACGCACATAAGAATACATAAATATACACTTATGCGAGATATCACATTTTATACGAAACATGATAAAGCAACGAAGAGAATGTTTGGAGAGTTTTAACAAATTACAGACTGTAGAAATTTATTTTTACTACAATTGTCATTCTAATCACGGACACAATATTCTAAATATAAAGCAATACGAAATTTGTGTTTTACTTTTGTAAAAATCAATAATACATAAATATTTGATAAAAGCAAATATTAAATTGGGATAATTTTTTGTCTACTCTAATTTTAAATAACTTGCAAATTAAATATACACGCAATATGATATTTGTAGTTTATTCTTTTGTAATAAATAAACAATATTTTGGAAAATAATTTTAGATAAGATATAATAATTATGCTAACTTGATCGATAACGCGATGCAATGATGATCAATTCCTCTTTTATTCTTTTCATTATTTCATCTCGAAAGAAAGAATATTTTTTTCCCTTTTTTATATTCTCATTTCTGTTCGATCTCTCGATTTTAGAGTTGTAACTTTTACTGATATATTCATTGTCTCGGAATTTAATATGCGACACATCTATTTGCATTCTTGCACATCTTCTAATAAACAATATTTATCTTTTTGTCGACTTTCTAATATCAAATTACATCTTGAATCCTTGATTCTAAGACTGTTTACTTCTCATAGAAATTAGCTACACATTATCAATATCAGTTAATGTGTATCAAATTATATATAAAGTGTCTTTGCTTAAACAGCAGAGTAGATTTATAGTAGAGTACGATTATCACCGAGTTTCATAAAGACTTTAGAATGTTTTGTAAGACACAGCCGGACAAATAGTTTCAAGATTTTCTAGCGATTATAAATTTTACCATCGGACATGTGATTTTATCCAAAATTTATTAAACTAGAACTTTTTATAAGCACATAAAGTTTAGGTTAAATCTTTTGAAATACCTTGTATATATAATGTTTATTGGAACCAAAGTCCGAACAACACGAAAGCACTGTATGTCGTGCTGCTGGCGTAGTTACGAATAACGGCTCGTCGGCGTCAGATATAATTTATATTCTGGTTACATTTATAAGTAACTCTTTACGCTTATATAGCTAAGTTTATACAGACTCTTTGTACGGTGTTAAAACGTGTATTTGGTGTTCCATCATTATAATCTAAAGTGGAATGCAGGATATAAATTATGGTAACTCTTTCTTCTTTATTTTTTAATTGAAATAACATATTCAAAATGTTTGTTTTTTCCAATTTATAAAGCTTACAGTAAATGATAAAGCTGGAAGTCTGGAAGCTTTGACAAAAGCATGATTCTTCTGATTCTCTAAAAAAAATTTACTAAGCCTAACTGATTCGAAATATATTGAAGAAATTAAATTAAAAATGCTTAACTTTTTCTGCTTGCAGATACAGACCTGTCTACCACAATGCATTCGCTTCCTGACGTTATTCATGATCGTTCATACGTGGAAACTCGTGAGTGTGCAAAAAAGTTAAAATTATATTTACAAATTCCATTATGCAATTAAAGAGAGATGGGTTTTAATTGGATAATTATTGCTCTTAGTATCAAAAGAGAAGCATATCTAAAAATTGTAGCTTATTAGAATTGTTGCATGTAACTGTTTCTGTTTTTATTATGGAATTAAATAATCTCGAAAACACAAAAAAATGAAACGTTCGATCTAATAACGTATACCCTTCAAATTTTGCATATAAGTCAAACACCGATAGAAATATAAACATATTATAAGTATCGCGATCCGCGTACATGATAATGACATTCTGTTATAATGTAATATTTCTCTTCACTGGATTAAAAGTTTTTAATATTAATGAGATAAAAAATCTACAAAACCTTTACAAAAATTTAAAATTGCTTTTAGTTTACGATATCGATAGAAAAATTTTTGAAATAAATGTATTAAACTTAGTAGAGTAAATTATTTAAATCTTCGTAAATATAAATTAATTTCTCAAAATTTTATATAGAAACTCAACATTTATGTCAAATTCTAGATAACTAATGCATTCCAAATTACTTACTATTTATTAAAACACTGACAGAGAAATTTCTAAATTTAATTAATATATTTTCAATAAATAATTATAAATATTGGTTTATGTAAAAAGTAATTTAGGATTTTTTAAATAAATCTGTCTACTTGTTTTTCAGGCATAACGCAGTTTTGTTAACATGTAAATTAAATATTTGTTTGTTCAAGATGTAATCAATTCTGTCTGTAACACAATTTTTTAACCGTGTTACGTAAAAAACAATAATATCGTCTATTGAAAAAAACAAAATTACTTATTGCACATAATTCAATAAAAAAAATTTCTTAAATGCTGCGCGGAATATGCGCCTAACCGTATTACTTTTCACGATTTTTGTACTGTATTATATATGAGTCTTAATATTTACATTTTACCTACAGTATTTGGATTTAAACGGATGTCCATTCTCGGCATAACACTAGTACACGAGCATTTAACCAGCAATTTTATTTCATATATGCAAAAACTTCCGAGGAATTGTTTGCTGCAAGATGCCCACCAAGATCTATGTTTGTCGAATATAGGAAACGTCAAGCGGTATCCGTAAGTCAAATTAAATTATTCACTGTATTTCTAAAGAATATTTTAATAAATATGCATATGGCAAACTTTAGAATAGAATACGCGTAATATACAAAGAAAAGATGCTTACAAGATAAAATATCTAAAACTTCATATTAATATCAACACAAAGGAATTAAATATATTTGTAAATATAATTGTGCGAACTGCACAATTCATGCAAGGCACTTTCATGAAAATATTCTAAGAAAAAAATAACACGTTTTTTATGTTATAATAAAAATATGTAATGAAAAGATATCTTATTTAAATATCTAGACGTAATAAAAATAACGTTGTTTAAATAAAATCGTTTTTATGTCATGGATTTGACTTTTCAAAGAGAATTTTGACATAATTTTTGCATTACATTTTTTAGAAGGCGCTTTCATTACCTCTTCATTATTTCCATGTGTTTTTATAAATTTGCATCAAAATGTAAAACACTTAAAAACTGCTATTATGTTGAATAATTATACATGTCGTACATTTTTTTGATCCAGATACGGCTACTCCAAAAATTTATGTCTGTCTCCAAACGAATCCCAATTGATGATTGATGAATTATTTTCGTTTAAATTTGCCGGTGGCAAAACCATCGTGGAGATGAGCAGCTATGGTTTGAATCGAAATGTTCGATTGTTAAAGTCATATAGTAAAATGACAAACACCCATATAATTGTTGGAACAGGTAAGTTTGTGGTATACTGCATTATACGTGTGTTTGTTTTATACGCAATTAGAATTAAGTTTTTATTCTTGCATTAATAATTTTCTCAATTTAAACTATAGAATATTTTCGTGTTTTACGTATAAATTTGTTCCACTCTGATTTTACACATCATTACTGTTGTTATTTTACGACGTCGTATTTTTATGCAGGATATTACACCGCCCAGTCGCAACCTACATCGAGACTCTTTATGACGAGTGAAGAATTGTACATAAACATGTTGAAAGAATTTTCTGACGGTATCAGAGACTGTAATGATGTACATCCAGCATTTATTGGAGAAGTTGGCATCAGTTGGCCGATCCATGGTAGGTATATATTACACACACTAATCTGCCAAGCTGACAAATTTACTAACACAAACTTCCGGTCATTTCCGATATCTCCAATTTGCGTTAAAAAAAAGTTTTCATTAAAAAACTTTAGCAAAACGCTTGCGTAGTTTATTGCGCAGATTTTCATGCGCCTTTTTTTTACGTTTAAAATGGAATAAATGTATGTGCCTATCATAACAAAAAAAAAAAATGCAAGAAATAACATGTGAAAGTACAACATAAAAATGATATATTTTATCAATGCATATTTCTATTATTAGATAAAAATAATTAATTAATTCTTTCTTAAAATAAAAAATTGCAAATATACATCTTACATTTTAATTATATGCAATGAAATTCGAATGTTCGTTCGAAGAGTGATATTCAAAAACGGATTATTTGTGAGTGAAACTAATTAGAATGTTAAACAATAAATATCTGAATTGCATTTATAATTTAGATTTCGAAAGAAAATCTATTATTGCGACTGGTCAAATTCAAGAGCAACTGGGTTGTCCTGTAAGTTTTAGTCCTGTAAATTTTAATTTTGCACGTAATGATATAATTGCACCATACGAAATACTACGCATCTATGAAGAGGCTGGCGGTTGCTCCCGCAAAGCCATTATGTCTCACATTCAACGTAAGACTTATTAATTTCTTTTCATTATTATTTCATTATTTTGCACATTAAAATTAACACAAGTTAATTGAATGATTTTAATAGATGCATTTCCTGACAAAAAGGAATTGATGAAATTCGTCAGTCTTACCAATTGTTTTATTCAATTCGATTCGTTTAGTGAAAATTCTATCTGTTACCAAGATAATCAGTTTTTCGAAGTTCCATTAAATATACAGAAGTACCTGAACAATATTTCATATTTGAAACAAGTAAATCAATTAGATCGAGTACTCATAAGCCATGATATTCACACTAAAAATAAACTGGTACGTGTTAATCAATTTTTTCTTCTAATTTTACTTAAATAATTTTTTAAATTAATTAAGTAATTTAAATTAATTTATGTTTAAATTAATTATTGTTGCTTTTGTAATTTAATTTTAACTTAATTTTATTCTATTTTTATTAATTTATTTTAAATTCAAAAAGTTCATTAAAAAGTATTTAAATTATAATTAGACATAAACTGGCAAAATCAGTTATAAAATAGCGACGAACTTGTCTTATAAAAATGCATACAGAAACGAAATCATTTGATTGTTTAGGTTTCTTACGGTGGCCAAGGATATTCTTATATTTTTAATAACATCGTGCCTCCCCTGTTAAAGAGAGGTTTCAATATTCATGAGATTCGGCAGATATTAATTGAAAATCCTCATAACTGGTTACAATAGTTATAATTTATGATATTCATTATAATGATAGAAATATAATTTCACTTTAAATGTAACAGAAATATTAAATATTTTTAACAACTTTAAACATAATAAAAGTTATTATTACGTTAATAATCACTTATTACTATATTATAACTATAACTTACGTTAATAGTTAATTATTATTACGTTAATCACAAGATTAAACCAATAAAAATTGAAAATGCTTCGTATATATACATATATTTTAATTATATAATATACAGTAAAACATAATAATATAAATATATATCTTCAACTTGCTTCTTATTTAAATTATTTTACTATTTTTATCTTTCGTATTTCAAAATCATATTGAGTCTATAAAAAGTTTAGTTTAATTTTTCAATAAAATTCGATATATTATATTATATGTAATTTTATTATATATATTATATATGTATAATTTGTGTATGTGTGTGTGTATGTATCATATATTTGTTTATATAATATATACATGATACATACATATTAAATATACAATTATATATATTTATAAATATACATTATATATATTCATTTAAAATAGATTTATATATTTTTATAATAAATTAATTTTTAACACAGTATCGTTTTTTTTTTCTTTCTTTTGCAAGAAAAAAAGTAGTAATTGTAATAATAATATTGTTGTAATTGTAATAATTCTAAATCTAATAATAAATCTTTTCTAGCTCTTTTTGTTCGATATGCAGTTAATTCTGGCTATCTCAATTATCTCATCGAAAAATTTAAGTAATACAATGTTTACGTTTATGTTTAATACTTTGTTTTATTAGTGGAAAAATAATTTATAATGCATTCTATCATACTATATTAAATAAAATAAAATAAGAAAATCAATTTATAGTAACATAGTGACGCTTAGAATAAATTTATTCTACATTTTTTATAAAAAAATTTTTATTTTTTTGTCAATTTTCGAATGTTAAATTACATTTTGATCCTTTGATCTTAAGACTGCTTATTTCCCACAAAATTCATAGAAGTTGATAGCTACATATTATCGTTATCAATGTCAGTTAATATGTGTCAAATTATATACAAAATGTCTCTGCTTGTAGCAGAGTATATGCTTATCACTGAGCTTCGTAAAGGCTTAGATACTTTGTAAGACACAGTCGGACAACTAATTTCATGATTTTCTAGCGCTTATAAATTTTATCATCGGGTTTTCATCCAAAATTTACACTAAACTGGAACTTTCTATAGACACGTAAAGTTTATATTAGTCAAATCTATTGAAACACCTTGTATATTTAATGTCCACTATAACGAAAGTTCAAGTTGACCGGACAACATAAGAACACTGTGTGTCGTGTCGCAGTTACGATTGGCAGCTCATCGGCGTCAGATAAAATTTATACTCATTTATAAGTAACTCTTTAGACTTATACAGTGATAGAATGTGTATTTGATGTTCTATCATTATAATCTAAAGTGGAATACAGGATATAAATTAGATTATTGAACTCTTTCTTCCTTTTAATTGAAATAACATACAGTGAAATGCCTGATATTTCCAATAGTAAGTGATAAAGCGCGAGGCTTAACGAAACCATGATTCTTCTCGTTCCACGATGAAATTTATCGATTACTCAAAATACATATCCGAAAAAATTAAATTGAAAATATTTGATTCTTCTTTAGCTCGCTCTACCTGCTCTAGCGGCTCCTACATTTTTGGGTCTCCCCATCTTATAAGCACTGGTAAGTGAAAAGAAAAAATAAAATTACAAAATAATGTAGTTATGTTACATTTATATTTATGATTTTTTTGTTGTGCAATTAAACTTCGAGTCGGTATTTTAATAGAACAACCATTGCTTTTGGTACTAAATTACGATATGTCTAATTATAGATGCAAATTAAGATCTTTTCCAAATTAGATTAATATATTTTTAATAAATAATTATAAATATTGAGTTGTGCAAAAAATAATTGAAGATTTTTCAAATAAATCTCTCTACTTTTTTTCAGGCAAAGCGCAATTTTATTAACATGTAAATTAAATATTTGTTTGTTCTAGTTGTAATCAAATTTTGTCGTATCAAAATGTTTTAAGTGTGTTGCGTGAAAAACTATAACACTATCTATTGAAAAATACAAAATCACTTATTATACAACCTAATAAAAAAATTTCTCAAACTCTATTACTTTTCACGATTTGTGTGTACTGTATTATAAATATATGAATCTTATTATTTACATTTTTTACTGTACAGTAATGGGATGGAAACCGTTGACCGAACTCGGCGTAACACTAGTACACGAGCATTTAACCAGCAGTTTTCTCTCATGTAAGATACAAAATGTTCCGTACGGAAATTATGACGGCGATCAAGATCTGTGTTTATCAAATATAGGACACATCAAGCGATATCCGTAAGTCAAATCAGATATATACTATATTTACTGCATTTAAGGATATTTCGTTGAATATCAATATTATAAATTTTAGATTCGCGTAAAGTACGCGTAACATTAAAGAAAAGATGCTATAAGATAAAATATCTAAAATTTTATGTCAGAGTCAATAACTTTGTAAACGTAACTGGACAATTCATGCAAAGTTTATGAAATATTCTAAGAAAAAAATAACACGGTTTTTTATATTATAAGAAACATATGTAATGGAAAGATTTCTTTATTTATAAAAATAACGTTGTTTAAATAAAATTATTTTTATGTAAAGGATTTGATTTTTCAAAGAATATTTTGACACGTTTTTCGCGTTACATTCTTTAGAAGGCGCTTTCATTATTTTCATGTGCTTTTATCAATTCGCATGAATATGTAAAACATTTAAAAACTGCTATTATGAATAATTGTTTATGTCACGGAGCTTTTTGACCCAGATACTTCTATTCCAAAAATCTATGTCTCTCCGATGCAGACGTAGTAAAATATATGGATTATGAATTATCTTTGTTTAAATTTGCCGGCGGCTCCTCCGTCGTGGAGACGAGCAGCTACGGTTTGAAACGAAGTCTTCAATTTGTTAAGTTATATAGTCAAACCACAGGCATCAATATACTTGTTGGAACAGGTATGTTTATAATATACTGCATTATATATGTTTATTTTATAATTAGAATTAAGTTTTTATTCTTGCATTAATAATTTTCCCAATTAGACTACAGAATATTTTCGTGTTTTACGTATAAATTTGTTCCACGCTGATTTTACATGTCATAGCTGTTGTTATTTCATGACATTGTATGTACGCAGGATATTACACTGCTATGACGCAATCTACGTCTGAGCTTTCTATGACGTGGCTAGAAATGTATGATAAGATGATGAGTGAATTTGTATATGGCATCAAGGATAGTAACTGTATTGGTATATATCCAGCGTTTATTGGAGAAGTGGGCAGCAGTTGGCCGATCCATGGTATATAATCACACACTAATCTGCCAAGCTGTCAAAATTGCTAATTTGCTAACCGATTCTTTTTGATATTACTAATTTCTATTAGACAAAAAAATTGCCAATAAGAAACAGTGCATTACACCTCCGCAAGAAAAGTGACACAAGTCAAAAATTTACGTAACGTAAATTATAGACTTCCAGTACTGGAAGAAAATTTCAAAACGCAGCCTTAGATTACAATTCGCACATAATACGAAATTCGAAAAATTTCGACTTGTGTCACTTTTCTTGCGGAGGTGCGATTATTAAAACGCTTATAAGGCCGCGTCTTTTAGTAGCGGGCTTTTTCGCGCTCTTTTCACGTTTAAAGCAAAATAAATATATGCATTATAACAAAAAATAAAAGTAGTAATATGTAGAAGATGTAACTACAACAAAAAGTATCATAGCTTATCAAAGCATATTGTTAATATAATAAAATTAATTAATTTATTAATCAATAAAATAATAAATTGCAATGTTACTCTCATATTTGAATGTTTAGTTACATTTTGGATCGAAATAAATTGTATTGTTCGTAAGTGAAGTAAGCTAATTAAAAAGTTGAACAGTGCTTGTATCACATTTGTAATTTAGATTTTGAAAGACAGTCTATTATTGCGACTGGTGAAGTTCAAGAGCAACTGCATTGTCCTGTAAGCTTCAGTCCTGGGTGCAATGAATCTTCACCCATGGAGATATTGCGGATCTATCAAGAAGCCGGCGGCAACGCTTGCAAAGTCATTATGTCTCACGCCGATCGTAAGACTTACTAATTTATTTCTATTATTGTTTAATTATTTTGCGCACCAGAACTAATACAAGTTAATCGAATGATTTTAATAGGTACATTTACTAGCAAAGAGAAATTAATGGAATTCATCGACGATACCAATTGTTTCGTTCTATTCGATTCGTTTGGTGTTGAAAATTCTACCTATTATAACAATAATCAGTTTAGTTCAGTTTTATCAGATATAGAGCGCATTCAGTACATCTCAGATTTGAAACAGCAAGGAAAATTAAATCGAATACTCATGAGCCAAGACATACACACTAAAAATAGATTGGTATGCATCTATCACTTTTTTCTTACAATTTTATGTGATAAATTAATTATCGCTATTTTGTCATTTTAATTTTGATTTTATTTTATTCAATTTTTTAATTTTATTTTTAATTTGTATTATTAAATAAATATTTATATTATTATTAAACTGGCAAAATTAATTACAAGATAGCGATAAACTTCTTTTACAGAAACGCTTACAGAAACGAAATTATTTGTTTTCGCAGATTTCTTACGGTGGCTCGGGTTATTCTCATATTTTGAATAACATAATACCTCGCATGTTAAAGAAAGATTTTAATATTCATGAGATTGACAAGATATTGATTAACAATCCCCGGCAGTGGCTATCTTTGCTTTAGAAAATTCATTAGAATAACAATTTGACTCAAGATGTACGTAACAGAAATATTACATTTCTTCGAGGATTTTTGACATATATAAATTAAGTAAAGACAATTGCGTTGATTGATTAACAACGACATTGAATAAATAGTAAATACACAATAAAATAAATAAATATTAAAAATTACATATATATATATACATATACATATACATATATTATAATTATATATATATATATATAAATATATATAATTATTTTTATATGTAAACATGTATATGTAAATACGCACAGTAAAGTTTTTACTTTTTTCAAAATAAATTCACATGACTTTAAGAATGCAAAAATATATCTAGGATATAGATTTTATTTAGTTTTGTAGAAAATCCGCAATACATATTAAAATATATATTTTTTTTAAAGAAATACATATTAAATATATGTGTATAATATATTATTATATATATTAAATATACAATATATATATATATATATATACATATTTAGTTAATACTTTTAAAAAAGTTTCATGCTGTTTGATGTAACTTTATGAAAAGGAGACCACAAATTAGGCTACAAAAAACTAAATAGAAAACGACTTCATGGATTTTGATGAAATTTGCAGGAAAGGTAGTCTAGGGTGAAAGAAGAAAAATGACCATGGCGATTTGGCTTAGGTGTCATGGTTCCCAAGTAATGGCGCCCGGAACTAGGTTCTATCCATGACAATGCATATAATTGTATATATATATATATATGGATATTATTATCCATATATATATATATGTATATATGCATTGCCATGGATAGAAATCCAGTTTGTACCTTCCCTGCAAATTTCATCAAAATCCATGAAGCCGTTTCAATTTCGTTTTTTTTTTTTGGCCTAATTTGTAGTCTCCTTTAATCTTTACTGCATATACTAAAAAATAGAAAAAGTATTATTTTAATGGAAAGAGTTATATTTTTAATAATCATTAACTCTTAAATAGGCCTCTGCGACGTTTATCTTAGATGTAATAAATTTGTCAGTTTTATTTTTTTTAAATTAATTGATTTATATTTACATTTTCTTTATATTTATTTGTGTAATATATTGTGTAATAAATATTTTATTGTTATATATATTGCGTGTTTTCTTTTGACTTTATCAAACCACCAATTTAAGTAACTTACATTCTTTGAATTCTTCGCTTAGAGAGCTTTTCTTATATATGGAACCTTTAATAAACCAGTTCGTGTCAGGGAAATGAAATTTGTTCACACCCAATACGTTAAAATAGCCTACAAGCAATATATAAAGTAAAATACACTTGCTGTATGTTTAAAACAATAAATGCTTCTTTAATATTTCACGAACACAAACAATCTCTAAAAGTAATCCTCCTCAAATCAAGACTGTAGAAGTAACATCGATATTATTGCAACTTACACCAGAGAAGTTTAACATGAATGGCAATAGGATGAAAAGCATAGCTCGTATGACGTATCGCATCACACCCATCATTTGGAGATTAACACCATCTGGCGAGCTCGATTGATATACATTGTCACACTAGTAATTATAGGCATTAAATAAAAAGGATCAGGTACAGGTGAGATCCGTCAATCACAAAAAGCCGTCCTGTTTCAAGCTCTCCACAGGTAAATTTGTAATATTTCTGAGGGCGAAGAAGAAGAAGAAGCAGAATATCGGCGCCTGAAAAGATTAGCATTTAAGAAATTATTTTTTTATCACATTTTTTATTCTTCTACACGCGTATATATATAGAAGCATTGCAGACCTGGATTAATAGCATCATAATATTCTTCATGGCACTAACTCCGTTCTTCTTCATGTAGTTTATCAACTCATTTTTATTGTACAATTGGCAACAATCTCATTAATACTTACGGTACAAAGAATTGATATATAGAACAAAAAAATATTTGCGTAGAATATTGTGCATATATATATGCAATCTAAAAAAACATTTATAGCAATCACAAAGTGCATATGTACAATGCCGTCTTAACCTATAAATTTGGTAAACCGAGCTGATAGCATCTATTTCGCGTTGTTATGTTAAGTATCGAAAGGATTAATTTTGTTTTTGTAATTAATTGACATCTTTCAAATTAATTACCCGAAAATAAATGATTCTGACCTTATCAAACGTGCTAAACTCTTTCTTTTCACATGACACTCGTTTACTGCACTTTTCCATGAGAGATCGACAATCTCGATAATCGATCCATGATCCATGCGCACGTGATATTCCGAAGGATTCCGACCAAATTCCGACATAGGCCGACCGGTGCTACTGCCGCGCAATCTATACAGGTGTTTCAGGTCATTGCCTTTTCCACATGACTGATCAATCTAGATCAACTATTAATAGCACCTCCGCATTCGCGGCGCATCTTCAGTCTATTTATAGACTGCACAGGTGCTGAATTTTCAAAACGCTATAACTCAGCGAAAAATTGACGTAGCGACATGGGACAAAAACGGATCTTCTCAGTTTTTTATGCTGCACATGTTTACGTACACTGCACATGCTCTTATCATGACACGCATATACATATTTGTTTTAGATTCGGATAAAATTAGGATATTTTATATATTTTATATATTTGAATTATTTGAATAATTTAA